GTCGCAATTTTTCACAAAGGATTTAATTGCAAAAAACATAATAGTCGACCCTCTAAGCGGGTCATGGCAAGCTTTTGATAAATACGGCTTTAGCAGCTTTTTGATGTATCCTACGCAACAAACAATCCCAGGCAGGGGAACCAACCTGAAGTAGGTATTCCCTGTGTATTCAATGCCCAATCCTACAGACCCACTGAAGACTGTCCAGACTAGCTCAAAGGGAATGAAATTAGTAGACACACAGTATAAAAGTTAAAAGTTGTTGAATTAAGACTATATCAAGGTAAGTTATAAACTCATTAAAGTGACTTATTAATGAAGGAAAGTAATTAAGCTTGATATTAGTTAGATTAAGCTTATTAATGAAGGAAAGTAATTAAGCTTGATATTTGTCATTTGAGCTAGTGCTGGAACTGAAATTAAGGTACCACTAATTTTGTTGAGATTAGAACTAGAGTTCCACAGTCTTTCAAGTCCCCCAACCAGTACAGAAATTTAAAAAAAAAATTTTTTTTTTAAAGAGCATTGTTAAGAAACTGGGAGGTCGGAAAAAAATACGAGACGTAGTTTCGTTTTTCGCTGGGAAATACGAAGACTTTGAAAACTGGCCCACTCCCTATAGAAAGGTCCAACACTCATTGGTTAATTCTTTCAGCTCTTACTTGGAGATTTGGAGGCGGTCACAGCATTAAAAATATTTCAGTCCCTAACTTATCATCCGGTTGCTGCCCCTGGTGACCGCGGCTTTCTAGTTTTAGGTAAAGCTTAAAGAAATTGATTTTATTGATTAATTTAGGGCCAATATTGAAGAGCTATTTGACAAAATTGCTGTAATGGTTAATCTAGTTTGTTAATCCTACTGTAACATCCATCAGGGTTTCACAACACGGAAGGCTAACAGTATTGGGGACAAAACAAAAAGTTACTATCGATTAGTTGGCCACAGATTTTTTCACCCATATCAATAACCCTACAGCCAACTGCGTGGCTCCTCGTCTATTTTCTAGAGGCTAATCAAATGAATCTATGGTGCGCGTGTTGTAGAAATACTTGTTATTGAACCACCGATAGATTGCGGAGTTTATCATTAGATTGTAACCGTAACTGCAAACAAAGATTTTGTAAAAAGCAAGAACATCTACATTGTAATGTAGTAGTAGTAATGTCTACCATTGTACCGTATTAATCATGTTAACGATTTAAATATATTTTTGTTACTTACCCCTTGGTAATTATTGAGTAGTTTTCCTGTACCATCAAGAAAACGAGAGAAAAGGATATATTCACTAATAATAATAATAAATCTTCGGTGTATTCACCCTATTAGAATTGCTTTAAGTTGAAAAGCGAAACTGGTGCATCGATGCCGAGAAAGGCAATGCACTGAAGATAAGAATAGAATCGAAATTTAATTAGTGGATAAGAGAGAGCCAGAAAAAAGGGTAAGTTTATTTTGATTGAGAAATATTATATTTGAATATATCATGGATATAGAAAAACGTAAAATAAGAAGAGCTTTGAAAAGTTCTACTACTAAATTTCTCACTAACTTAGATAAAAACCTTGATGATTTGACAATATATGAATTAGAAACATCTTTAGAACATTTAAGTGAGAAAATGTTGAACATAAAATTAATAAATGAAGAGATAAAGGAACTAGATGTTAAAGATATCGAAAAGGAAGTTGAATCCTCTGAAACGTATGTAGAAGATTTGATTAACTATAAATGTAAAATTAAACAGAAGATTCAAAAAATTAGTGTCACTCCCTCAACTAGTTCTAATTTAAATGGTGTAACTAGCTCAGACTGTAAATCAAACGGAAGTAAACAAATGCACGATAAAAACTACCGAAATTAACTGTAAACAAATATTTCGGAGATCCAAATTCATGGTTGGAATTTATCGGCCAGTTCGAAAATTCAATTGATAAAAATCCGTATCTTTCAAATATTGAAAAACTAATTTATCTAGAAAGTTTTGTTGGAGGAGCAGCTTCAAAAGCAATTTCGGGATTTTCTTTAACGGATGATAATTATAAAGCAGCCCTTAATTTGTTGAAAGATCGGTTTGGACAGAAAAACTTGCTTAAAAATGCTCATTTAGGCCAATTATTGAATATAACACCAATAAAACATAACTGATACTTTTGGATTGCGAAAATTATTCGATCGAGTAGAAATCGAAATTAGAAATTTAGAATCGCTAGGGATTGATTCGGCATCTTACGGAAATCTATAAACGCCGATAATTTTGAAGGTACTCCCATCGGAAATAACTTTAGACTTTAGTAGGAAGGAAAAGGGGGATAATTGGGATTTAAAAGCCCTTCTAAAATTTTTAAGTGTAGAAATAAAAAGTCGCGAAAAAACTACCGCCATTACAAATATAAAATGTTCGAATAATCAAAAAGATAAATTTAGATCAAGGCCGTACCCACAAAAAGAATTAACATCCGCTCATGAATTATGCGCGACCGCAACGAGAATTAATAAATGTGTATTTTGTAGGGGTGACCATGAATCTGAGAAATGTGATACTCTCACAGTAGAAGAAAGAAAAAATATTTTGAGTAAGCAAAGACTGCTTTCTTTGCTTGAAACCAAATCGATTAATTGATTGTTACAGTAAGAAAAAATGTGTTTTCTGTAATCGGAGACATTCAAAAGCGATTTGCTTTAAGTTAGATGAAAATAAACAAACAAAAACTTTAAACGATAGAGAAAATTCTAAGGAAAATTTAGAAATCGTTTCGGCCATTTCTTGCAAGAATAAATTAAAACATAAACAAAAGTCGAATCGCATTTTATTACAAACTTGCTCAATCATTGTGGAGCCCAAAAGAATAAATTACTTTGGAACCTTGGAGTAATAGAAGAAGTCTACCCTGGACGGGATGGCAAAGTCCGGAGCTGTCTCGTAAGGACTAATGGAAGTCGGATCAGACGTCCCGTTCAACTGTTATATCCTTTTGAAATTTTAAATAATGCTTAAAAATTTGATTCATGTTGAACTTTAATGTTTTTTTTTTNATCTTTCCTTTTTCAAAAAACATTAAGATCGCAAACTAAACATCGAACATTAAAAAAAAAAAAAAAAAAATCGATTCTTTTTCAAAAACGAACTTGATGAATCGATTCACAAATAAGAGTTGATTGAAATATCGATTCGTTCGTTTTTCGCACATCACTAGTAGTAGCATTGTCTACCATTGTACCGTATTCATCATGTTAAAGATTTAAAAATATTTTTGTTACTTACCCCTTGGTAATTATTGAGTAGTTTTCCTGTGCCATCAAGAAAACGAGAAAAAGGTTATATTCACTAATAATAGTAATAAATCTTCGGTGTATTTACCCTGTTAGAATTGCTTTAAGTTGAAAAGCGAAAACCCGAAATCCAATTTTTTTGTAAATNATTCACTAATAATAGTAATAAATCTTCGGTGTATTTACCCTATTAGAATTGCTTTAAGTTGAAAAGCGAAACTGGTGCATCGATGCCGAGAAAGGCAATGTACTGAAGATAAGAATAGAATCGAATTTTAGTGGATAAAAGAAAGCCAGAAAAAAGGGGTAAGTTTATTTTGATTGAAAAATATTATATTTGGATATATCATGGATATAGAAAACTTAAAATGAAAAGAAGAGCTTTGAAAAGTTCTACTACTAAATTTCTCACTAACTTAGATAAAAACTTTGATGATTTGACAATATATGAATTAGAAATATCTTTAGAACAATTAAGTGAGAAAATGTTGAACATAAAATTAATAAATGAAGATATAATAAAGGAACTAGATGTTAAAGATATCGAAAATGAAGTTGAATCCTCTGAAACGTATGTAGAAGATTTGATTAACTATAAATGTAAAATTAAACAGAAGATTCAACAAATTAGTGCCACTCCCTCAACTAGTTCTAATTTAAATGGTGTAACTAGCTCTCAGACTGTAAATCAAACAGAAGTAAACAAATGCACGATAAAACTACCAAAATTAACTGTAAACAAATATTTAAAAGCCCTTCTAAAAATTTTAAGTGAAGAAATAAAAAGTCGCGAAAAAACCATCGCCATTACAAATATAAAATGTTCGAATAATCAAAAAGAAGATAAATTTAGATCAAGGCCGCACCCACAAAGAGAAATAACATCCGCTCATGAATTATGCGCGACCGCAACGAGATTTAATAAATGTGTATTTTGTAGGGGTGACTAAATTTAGATCAAGGCCGCACCCACAAAATGAAATAACATCCGCTCATGAATTATGCGCGACCGCAACGAGAATTAATGAATGTGTATTTTGTAGGGGTGACCATGAATCTGAGAAATGTGATACTCTCACAGTAGAAGAAAGAAAAAATATTTTGATTAAGCAGAGACTCTGCTTTCTTTGCTTGAAACCAAATCATCGATTAATTGATTGTTTCAGTAAGAAGAAATGTGTTTTCTGTAATCGGAGACACTCAAAAGCGATTTGCTTTAAGTTAGAGGAAAATAAACAAACAAAAACTTTAAACGATAGAGAAAATTCTAAGGAAAATTTAGAAATTGTTTCGGCCATTTCTTCTTGCGAGAATAAATTAAAACATAAACAAAATTCGAATCCCATTTTATTACAAACTTGCTCAATCATTGCGGAAAATAAAAACAAACAAGAAAATGTTATAATTTTTCTTGATAATGGAAGCCAACGAACTTTCATAACAAATAAATTGGTAAAAAGATTAAATTTGCCAGTAATTAGAAAAGAAAAATTGTCGATTAATTCTTTTGGATCAGAGCAACCCCAAACTAAATTGTTTAATGTAGTTAGCATCCGATTAAGAAATAGGGAAGATTCTAATTATAAAATAGATATAGAAGCCGTAGAAACTGACACTATTTGTGCAACTCAGCTGCCTTCTCCAAACAAAAACATTGTTAAGGATTACGAATTTTTAAAAACAGTTCAACTTGCGGATGATTTTCAAAACGAAACTAAAGATGTTATGATTTTAATCGGATCGGATTTTTATTTTGATATAGTGACTGGCCGAATTCATAGACTCGAAAATAAATTGGTAGCGGTAGAAACAATCTTCGGTTGGTGTATTTATGGGCACATAAATAAAATAAACAATCTACTTACTATGAACGTAGTTGTTAACCGTGGTGATGAGACTTTAATTAGACAATTTTTTGATCTTGAGTCCATTGGGATTTTGCCTGATTCGCCTGTAACTGATAACGAGGAAGAAACAATAGTTCAAGAGTTTGAGTCTTCCATTACATTTGATAAACGTTATAAAATTGAATTGCCCTGGAAATTAGAATTGATTGACAACTTAAAATCAAATTATGATGTTGCCCTTAAGAGACTCCACCATTTTGTACACAAATTCGAAAAGAACCCTTGGTTACTTAATGAATATAGACAAACCATAGAATCATATCTTGCAGAGGGTATTATTGAAGAAATTCCTGACGCTGAATATTCAAATGATAAAACTATATTTTATCTTCCCCACAGGGCGGTTATTAAAGAAGAGCGACAAACTACAAAACTCCGCATTGTTTATGATGCATCGTCTCACTCAGCTGAATCCTGTTCGCTAAATGATTGTTTATACACTGGTCCCAAATTAACTAATGATATTTTTGATATTCTAATTAACTTTAGGAGGAAAGAGATAGCTTTTGTTGCAGATTTGAAGCAAGCTTTCCTTAATATCGAAATTGTGGAGGAAGATCGAGATGCGACCAGATTTATCTGGACGGAACCTCCCTTTGATGAACTAAAGATTAAAATTTATCGATTTACTCGTGTTTTATTTGGACTTACTTCTAGTCCCTTCCTTCTTGCGGCAACTATAAAATTTCATTTGAAGAATTATGAAAAAACTCATCCTCAAACAATAAATTTTTTAAGAGAATCGTTGTATGTGGACGATGTGATAGGATGTGAGGATAATGTAGATAAAGCTTTTCGTTTCATTCAGGAAGCTATTAAAATTTTTGAAGATGCGGGTATGCAACTTAGAAAATGGAATTCAAATTCGAAACCTCTTATGGACTTGTGGGAAACTAATAACATTCAAATTGATCACACCATAGAAAATTCAGACTTAATACATACCTGCCAACTTTTAATCCCTTCCATAATGGTTTTTCCCAGTGGTAATAATATGGAATTAAAATTTCAATTTTAAGCACACAGATACGTGGTATTTGAAAATGCTTAAGATGACGGCTATGATGGTAACACAAATTAATATTATATGCCTAATTTTTTTAAGAATAGTGGTGATCAAAATTATTTAAAAATTAAGTTTATAAAAGAAAAAATAGTATATATTTACTACCACTTTAAATATGAAAATAAAATTTTACGCCAAATGCGTAAAAGTTGGCAGGTATGCTTAATACCTTCTGAGCATAAAGTACTTGGGATAGGGTGGAATAGTGACACAGACATTTTTTTTTTTATACTGAACATCTTATCAAATTTTTATCTGAAGGGAGACACACAAAAAGATTTTCGCCGAAAGCTGCTGGTCGTATATTCGACCCAATAGGATATTTGAGCCCCTTTGTAGTAACCATAAAGTGTTTAATTCAAGCAGTTTGGTGCGCTGGAATTGATTTGGATGAAGAACTCCCTCAAGAAATTGCTCATGATTTTCAGGATTGGTGCAATGGTGTTAAAAAATTAAAAGACATTGAAATACCACGTTACTATTTAAGGGATGCTCTTGGAGATAGTATACAGGATATACAGCTTCACATATTTTCTGATGCTAGTTTGAAAGCATACGGCTGTGTCGCGTATTTGAGAATTGTTACAAATTCAGATAAGATATATACATCATTTGTTGCATCCAAAAGTAGAGTATCTCCCCTCAAAAGTCTGTCATTACCCAGACTTGAATTGATGGCTGCCCTTTTAGCTGCTCGATTGAGCAATAATTTGGTAAAAAACTTAAAGTTTAAACTTACACAAAAATTTTGGACTGATTCATCCATCACTTACTTCTGGATTAGAGGTTTACCCAACCGATTTAAACCCTTCGTAAAAAACCGCGTTGTTGAGATTCAACAATTAACAGATCCTGAACATTGGTTCCACTGCCCCGGCAAAGAAAACCCGGCAGACTTAGTTTCGAGAGGACTGAAAGCATCCGAATTGATTAACAACACTCTTTGGTGGGAAGGACCCCCTTTCCTCAAAAAACGTGTTGACAGTTGGCCTCAGACTTTTGAAACATCCCCGGAAGAAAATCTTTTGGAATTCAGAAAGAAGAAAGAGGAAATTCCAAGTTTCTGCTTTAGTACATCTTCCAATGATCTAAGAATTAATCCGGAGAATTATAGTTGCTTTTTAAAATTTTTGAGGATAACAGCATGGATTAGACGTTTTATTTCAAAGATAAGAAAACAATCTACCACTTAGGGACTACTCACATCATCAGAAATTGAAGAAGCAGAAGAGTTTTGGGTCAAATTTGAGCAAAGAAAAGCGTATCATTCAGAAATATTGGCCTTAGAAAGTGGAAAAGAAATTGACAAGAATTCTTCTATTAGAAGTTTTGCCCCCTTTTTGGATGATAAAAAGGTTTTAAGAATAGGAGACAGATTGGAAAATTCGGAATTTGATCTTGAACAAAAACACCCTATCTTACTTCCTAATAAATGTAAATTTACAGAACTGTTGATTAGAAATGAACACGAAGGAATATTTCCTGGTGGTGTTTCTGCCACCCTTCCTAAAATTAGAAATCGGTTTTGGATCGCTGGAGGTCGGCAGCTTATAAAGAAAATAATAAAGAGTTGCATAATATGTCGCAAATATTCAGCTCTACCTGCTAAGCAAATAACCAGTCCCCTACCTAAAGATCGAGTTTCAGAATCTCCACCATTCTCAGTTTGCGGGGTGGACTTTGCAGGTCCGATATATGCTAAAACATCGAACACTCCTGAAAAAGCCTATATATGTTTGTTTACTTGCGCAGTAACAAGAGCCTTGCGTAGGTTTATTTCCAGACGAGAAATTGTCCAAACCATATATAGCGATAATGCAAAAACCTTTAAAAGCGCAAATAAAGAACTTCAATTTATTTTTAACTTTATTCAAGATCCAAAGATTCAAAATTTTATAGCAAATAAAAGGATCAAGTGGAAATTTATCATGGAACGAGCTGCATGGTGGGGAGGTTTCTATGAGAGATTAGTGAAATCTGTGAAGGAATGCTTACGCAAGACTCTATCTAAATCTCTTCTTACTTTTGAGGAATTAACAACAATCTTAACAGATATAGAATCAGTGTTAAACCAACGCCCTTTAAGCTTCGTTTATTCTGACTTCAATGAACCCGAACCTTTGACCCCTGCTCATTTTTTGTTGCCCCAGAAGAAAATCGATCTTCCGTTATATTACACCGAGACTCTTTTTGAACACTCAAATCGTTCTCCCTTAATCAAAAGAAAACTGTTCCAGATGAGACTTTTACAAAATTTTTGGACCAAATGGAAAGAACAGTATGTTCTCTTAAAAACTGCTCATTGGTTGACAACTTCAGAAAATCAACTTAACCTTCAAGTCCAGGACGTTGTCTTGATCGAAGGAGCCCAAAAGAATAAATTACTTTGGAGCCTTGGAGTAATCGAAGAAGTCTACCTTGGACGGGATGGCAAAGTCTGGAGCTGTCTCGTAAGGACTAATGGAAGTCGGATCAGACGTCCCGTTCAACTGTTATATCCTTTTGAAATTTTAAATAATGCTTAAAATTTTGATTCATGTTGAACTTTAATGTTTTTTTTTTCTCTTTGTCATTTTCCTTTAATCTTACTAGATATTATGGACGTCCCTGTCCATGGTGGGGAGTTTGTAGAAATACTTGTTATTGAACCACCGATAGATGGCGGAGTTTATCATTAGATTGTAACCGTAACTGCAAACAAAGATTTTGTAAAAAGCAAGAACATCTCCATTGTAATGTAGTTGTAGGAATGTCTACCATTGTACCGTATTCATCATGTTCAGATATAAATATATTTTTGTTACTTACCCCTTGGTAATTATTATTGAGTAGTTTTCTTGTACCTTCAAGAAAACGAGAAAAAGAATATATTCACGAAAATTAGTAATAAATCTTCGGTGTATTTAACCCTTTAGAATTAATTAAAGATGAAAAGCGAAAACTCGTTCTAAAACTTTTGTCCAATATTTTATCGTTTCTTCTTGTACTCTTATCAGTTCTTTGTCTACTTGAATTGTTTTTTGATAATTGATTAAATTTACTTGCGATGTAATGTGATTTTTCGATTGTTCATGAGAAGAAATTAAAATATGAGCATTTTTCCAATCATTGAAACCAGTCTGAAAAACATTTTGTGAAATTTCGGAACTAAATAATTTACACACATAACAGTATAATTTACCTGTAGACTTTGATAAAATCAGCCAATCTCTTTTAATAATTTCATCCTTACTTAACTTTCGAAAAAATAAGTCTTTAGTTACATGCCTATTTTTGTCACCTATTTGTCTACAAGTAAATTTGAAATCGCAATTTAAATCTTGAGAAACAGGGTTTTTTGCAATGCAATGTTTCAGATCTACAGTCACGTTCCATTCAGCAGGATCAGAACTAAAATGTGTTTGTAAATCACGAATCAAATCAACTTTTTCCGAGTGAATTGTTGCATTTTGTACAGAAGAATTTTTGTTTGAAATTTCTTTTATATTTTCGAATTGTGACAACTTTTCTGGACCTGGCATTTCTTCGTGAAGTTCCGCATCAGAAATCAGGTTTTCCGAAATATTTAACTGATTTTGCTCTCCTTTTTCTGCATCACCTAAATTGTACATTTTATAAAAAGAGAAAAAATTAGAAATTCACAGTTTTTAACACTGAGATTAAATTGCTTGACATTTTTTCAAATTATTTTCAAATCACTAAAAACAGTATTTAGTGGCATACTTACAAGGTTTCACAAATTTTAAAATCGATCCTTTCATTTTTTTTAAATTTTTCTCTTTTTCTTCTTTCTTTTTAGGTGACCAAACTCATGTTTTCTTAAATAACCGTCAGCCATTTTAGATTTAATATCACCAAACAATGAATGCAAATCCAATTGTTGATTATAATTTATGATCCTGAAAAATATATACAAAAAACATTGGTTAATTGCTAAAATGACTCGTTTGAAAAAACGTGACTAACATTTTATTAAAATAGTATTAAATCATTTTTTTTTCTATTAGTAAACATTTTACCTACCTTGCAAATTTATTTATAAATTATCTCAAATGATTTACTTTTGACAATGTTAATTTCCTTCCCTGAACGATTTTAAACTAGAACGAAAAAAGCGGAAATTGGACTTATCCTTGAAGTTGAGTAGAGGAAAATGTAAGGAATGGGAAATTTTTTTCCCCGTTTACCCAGAGAAACGTCATTTCCTCCGTGACCTTGAAGGCAGGGAAGGGAGGAATGTTTTATTTTTTCCCTTAGGCCGTCAATCAAACTCAAGGGTATGGCATGCTGTTTTCGTTTTCTGCTTGATTTACGAGGGAGGTGGGGTAAATGCCTTGCGGTTCATTGTAGACCTCGCCCAAACTTCAGCTGTCAAGATAAGGATAATTGCTTTCAGGTGCGTTAAAAAGCCCCCCTAGAACGGGCTTGGCTTAATACTTTCTTGGCATGATATAGTTTATTTCTCTTGGCGCTTTTCTTATAACAAGGTTACTATTTCTCCTGGTATGAAGAAGGATTTTTCCTGTCCGCAAGTGTGTAATCGAAGTCTTAGTCATGAGAGGGAAAAGTCTTAGCTATCAGAGGGAAAATTTTCTAAGAATGAAAGAAGCGAAAGAGCTGTACCTTGACTTACCGCCATTTCATGAATAGCTTATCTTGTCTAGCGAATTGAAATAGATTTATGTAGTGTTTCTGCAATTTTAAATAAACTATAAAATTAAATAAAATTTCAATTATCAGAAAATTTTTTTCTAAACATTGGAAGTCGTTATTAACAATCGCATTAAAGAAATATTTGAAGTCTTTAAGAATTTTTTTAATTGTAGTTCAAATCTAATTTTTCATTGAGTACAATTATTACGTCAATTAAATTTAATGAAATCGATCATAATGTTATTATTATGATTAATAATTTTAAACCATAAAATTTATCGTCTGTATGAATGAGGTTTGAAAATGCAACACATATAAGAATTTAACATAATATAGTAACTGCACCGAAAAAACATAATTAGAAAAAATAATTATTTTTCTCAAGATTTTATGGGATAATGATTGAAACTATTTCTATGTATTGATATTCAAGCCGTGATACAGACTTGCGAACTAAATTAAATTCATGTTCAGTACAGAACTGAGAAATCATTCAATAGTCTTTAATGGTATTAACAAAATATTTTCACGGCAATTTTATTTATTATTATTAAGCACAATATTGTTAAATGCGGTTTTATAATTAACTTTCCTTTTTTCCCAAATCCAAAGTTTTTTTCTTACTTTTTCAAAAATCTTGATCCTGAAGCTTTTCTTTTTAAAACTTAGTTGTTCTTTTTCGCAAAAAAATTTTTCGACAATTCAGAAAAGAATTTCGACAATTCAGAAATTTCGACAATTCAAGAAATTTCGACAATTCAGCTTTCAGAAAAATTACCTTTTACTAAAATAAATTAAATATAGTTATTTGGTTTTTGTCATACGAAATGAAGGAATGTAAATCAATTCACTCAATCCAAAAAATTTTTTAAATTTAAATGAAATTATATTTTATACAAAAAGAAAAAAAAAGTATAGTAAACTTTTTTTACATATAGAATATCCCAATAAACAACGTCTATAAACTACATTTTTAAAAGTAAAGTTGAACCTTTAGTTTTTATTAGATGTCACAAAATAACATTGAATCATGGAAAAATCTAATAAAAACTGGACCAATAATTTATGAGGTAGGAGACATTGAAAAAAGTTTGAATAGCAGAATTAAAAGAAAGTAGTTTAAATCCAATTAGAATTATTTCTCAAGAAGTACTGTAGTCGTGTTTAGGTCATGAAATTTCTCATACTTAAAAAAATGTTTCAAAGCTTTCAAAGAACAGCAATGAATTACAAACGAAAACAAGTATTTTTGAACACCCTATGCCAAAAAATAAAGCAATTAATTTGAATGAAAGATTAAAAAAAGATTGATGATGAATAGATGAAATAAAAGAGTTTAATTTGCATTGATAACTTTGGTTGTTATTTGCAAACTCCTCCATACTTAAAGTTTTAATAAAATAGTAATTTTTTTCTTGCAACTTTTTGGGCTATAACTCCGCAGATAATCAACGAAATTTTCGGAACCATTTTCAATCACTATTGAAATTGCTATTTTTAAGTTTATATAAAAAATTGTTAAAAATCTCTCAAGATAAAGTATTTTTTCAGACTAT